AGGTTTATTTTCCTCTTCTAAAAAAGGATGTCTCTTTCTGTTAATAAACAATTCTAGAACTTTCTAAAAATTTTGACTCAGATATATAAACAGTGGTAAAATATATGATAGGACAAATAACAACACATAATGTCACGACAAAATTCTAACTGTGTAAAAGAAATATTCGAGATTCATCGTTTGGTTTTTTTGCTGTAAAACAGGTAATGATTCTATTTCTTTATATTCTGACTAGAAGATTTTAATATATACAATTTTATTTAGAATCAGGAAATTCTTGTTCTACACTTTTCTTGATATGACAATTGACCGTGTAACATTACTGCATGAAGCATCTTCACATACAAAAGAACATGTTTATTTAATTACAACTCTCGACTGTTGAATTTAATGTCAACTAGATGTAACTCTGCGTTTTAAGAATATTATTGAATTACTGAAGATGGCCAGATTGTGGCCGAAACGTTTAATGTTTTAATGAATGTAATAATAATTAAATATCACAAACTATAACTTGTGCTGTGGTTTTTTATGCTCTTATTTTTTATATGTTTAAATAAGATAAGTTCCTTAATAAATATATAATATTACTTCAATTTGTTAATGCAATAATAATTATTATATATTATTTTAGACTTTAGACTAACAAGAAACGCAATACAATATATCTTATATACCAGAATCGAGGAACCGGAAAAAGGGAAAAAACGTAATAAATTTCGTCGTGAATAAATTAATTACTGCAAAAAATTGTTTTTATGTTTTGTAATACGACGAGAAGGACATGACTTTTCGAAAAAATTCCCCAATTCCAATTCTACTTTCAGAAATGGCCTTAGAAACATCGACATGGCTAAATCTGTGCTTCGTAGAGAAGATTCTACGAAAGTCGGAAAATGACAATTCGATTCAGGTGATCGATATATTTTCAAAACCGGCTACGGTCAAGGGTGACAACTATACTAGCGATATGATTAGGATTACTGTCGAATATTCACGCGGCTCTAAAATTAAAGAGAAAAAATCAATTATTGTGAAACTGTCGCCTGTCCTTGAAGGTGTTCGACAGAAATTAGTAAGTTAATCTAATATATATATATATACGTACAATGTTTCTAATATAAAAAGAAAGGATATATATATATATATATATATATATATATATATATATATATATATATATATATATATATATATATATATATATATATATATATATATATATATATATATATATATATATATATATATATATATAGAGAGAGAGAGAGAGAGAGAGAGAGAGAACAGGAAAATTTTATTACTTTGAAGTACATATATTTCTATTCAAAAAGATTCTAGGATACTTATTTTAGGATAATCAGTGATTAAAATGAAATTATTTTTATAAGTTAAGTTTACATAAGCGAATATACATTACTTTGTATTTAAAGACATTTGTTTCAAACCAAAAACTTGAAACTTTCCATTAAACAAATTTTATTTAGATTTTTACGTAGACCTATATATCACAAATAATTGCATGTTTGTTAGATTAAAAGATTACACTTGATTATTTTAAATAAATTTGTCACAGGTCACACAAGGAGGTTTCTTTCACACCGAGATGTTGATGATGTCAGATACTTTGGATAAAATGAACAAGATGTTAGGGACAAAGAATCGCTTGAGCGCAAAGATTTTCCACATGCAAAATGAAAATCCAGTACTTCTGGTGATCGAAGATCTCGCGTCTCTCGGTTTTCAAATGGCTGATCGTTTGTCTGGTCTTGATCTAGATCATTCCATATTGGCGCTTCACAGACTTGCCAAGTTTCACGCAGCCTCCGTAGCCCTATGCGAGAAGGTAAATCACATTCGCGATTCACAATCAGTCGCAGCATTTTGTTGCAATTATTAAGAATTCGGAACATCAATGACATTGACGAATGCAAGGACTATTTCAAGTTCAAATTTATGCGATAATATTAAATATAAAGAGCTCTTAATATTAAATATAAAAATTATACAATGGAATCAGTGGAACATCACTTTGCATTTCATAAAACTCGATTGCGAAGAATATGTAGTGTTTTAGGATTACGTGCGACACATCTGATATAATTCTACAGAGAGGAATTGTAATATTAAATACAAGAATTCCATTTTAACTTATTCTGTAACATTTTAACTAATGATCTTTCGATTATATGATTATGCTGTCGTTACGAAGCTTTTTCACCGTGTAAAATACCTGCACAACAACAGCATAATCATATAATCGAAAGATCGTTAGTTGAAATATTACAGAATAAACTAAAAAGACCTTATAGCATATAAAGCGCTTTTGTGCAAATTTCGCCGCATTCTTATATATTTTTATTTAGCAATCTTTTAAATAAAATACTTTTTACTTTATACCTTTTAAATATTCTTAGAGAGGATACAATTTTTTAATTATACTATATTATTTCAATTTCAAGAGTCCTACCATAACTACCATTTTTTGGCAATTTTTTAATTTGTATTTCTAGTGCTGAAATGGTTCTGAGTATAGTTTTGTACATACTGAAAGATTTTAGTAACTCTGGGAAATGAACAACTATCCAATCTGACTAATAATTTGAAATTTTGTTACGTACTCTACGTATTCTTTTCATTAGTATACAGTATTTATTTCGAAATATTAAATTTCATAGAAATAAATGTCTATATGTGATGTCGAGAATGAAATATTTGTTTTTAAAATTTAATTTAGCGTACTCTTTTATTAATGCATCTACGTAATGCAGTGCACTACTTGCATATCTGCTCGGAACTTTAACCTGTTTAAGACTTCAGTAAAAGTCATCTTAAAATCATTTTATGATAAAATTTTAAAGATGTTTCTTTTAAAATGTCTTTTTAAAATGCATATTAAGCTGTCTTCTACTTTCTCTGAAAAAAAAGTCTGCTATAAATTTGTAAAGAAATTATATATTAAAATTATATATTAAAATTATTGTGTAGATTTCTTATACAGCTTGATCTATTTGATATTTTAAATTTTCGCATTACAAATCTAACTTTATAATCAAATGGATAAATACATCAAAATATTTTTTAATAAAAATGTTTTAATATCAGGAACCAAAGCAAAAAGAGATATATACGAAAGGAATATTTTCTAATCAGCATCCGCCAGATATGAAAGAAATTTTCATTAAGAGTATTAAAGCTCTTGCAGACGAGAGTGTGAATTGGCCAGAAATGAAAAAGTAAGAATTTATATAAATAACAACATTTATTGCTTTATTTTTAAATTCAGAGTATTTTATTGTACATATATGATAATACTTATACATGATAATACTTATACAAGGCAGAACATGTTAAGAAAATTGCAAATATGTGTACGAATTACACGGTTGGGATTAATATTTATATTATTTTTACATGTTTCCATATAACTTTACATTTATTTGATTTTTATTGCTAGATATTCGGAAAAAATTGCTAAACTCGCTGATCATATATTTCAAATAGGATTGAATGCAACCCAGCTCTGTGAAGACGAATTTAATGTTATTAATCATGGTGATTGTCACGTGAATAATATGTTATTCAAATATGACAATAATGGCAAACCTATTGATCAGATATTTGTAAGTACTATTATATCATAAAAAAATCATGTACTCCCAAACATGTGCTCATTAATTTATTATAAACATGACTTTATATTGCGACGAAGATTAAATAAGAATTAAGTTAAATAAAACCATTCGTGAAATATTTAATATGTATTTACTTGTGATAAGACATGTCCTAAATAATACGCATATTGCATTAGATACTTTTCAGACATCTTTTAGATATAAGACATTTAAAAGTTACTCACCTAATGCAACATAAATATTATTTGGGGTGTTGAAATAGCGAATTTACTTTGAAAATGTATCTTATATATTTAGACAAATATAAATTTTATTATAAACAAATTAACGTAGCTTATCAGTCACTTTATTCCAATTATTTACATTTCTGAATATTTATTATAATTTTCATAGTTAAATGTAATGATATAAATTTACATAATAATAAATTAAATGAACAAATCCTGTTTCGAAAGACACTATTCCGGTATATGTCAATGCAACTTAATTATCCATAATTTCAATTAGAACAATCGAAAATACAAACCAAATAGACGATGATAGTGTAAGATATTTAAAATTATTGAAAATGAAGTATGTTTTGAATAAATGCATCGTATACAGGCATATTCATCTGTCGATGTTATCCATATGAGCTATCAACATTGTCGTCGCGACTTCATAAATATGACGTCCTATCCCCCCCCCCCCCCTCTCCCTCTATCACCCTGTCACTCTGTGTGTGTGTGTGTGTGTGTATGTGTGTGTAATAGAATTTATAGAATTTATCTCCAATAAAATCGTAGACTTAATTAAAAGATTGATGGAATGAAAAAATTAATTTTATTACAGGTAGATTTCCAAATAAGTGTCTACGCATCGCCGGCACTCGATCTTCTCTATTTTCTCAATTCAAGTATTTCCTTCGATATCATTGAACACAAAAGAGATGTTCTATTAAATGAATACCTTGATACCTTGACAACGACTATGAAGTTGTTGAACTGCAAGACGCAGCCGCCCACCATGAAAGAACTAAAGGCTTCCCTAAAACAAAGAGCTAGTTTTGGAATGATAACATCCTTCATTATTTTACCGTTCATGCTGTGCAGTAAAGCTGAAGCGAAAGATTTGGATGAAATATTGGGCACTGGTACTTATATAAATGCAGGTTTAAAAAGTGAGAGTTATAAAAATATATTGATAAAAAGAGTGCCACTATACGATGAGTGGGGTTTGCTAGATTTCTAATGAATACTTCATATTTAGAGATAAAACATTAATATAGAAAAAAAAAGTATAGGAAATAAAGATATTATATGTAAATATAATAAATATATTAAAATTAATAACAATAGACGAAAAGTGTTGACGTTATTTTAAAAAAGGGTTTTTTTTTAAACAAATAAACGTGAAATTGTATATAATGATATTTTTGGTTCGAAAAATTAAAAAATATTTTTTTATGATAGTTTTTATAATTTCAGTTTCACTTTTGATTCATTAAAGTTTTAAAATAATTTGTGATTTTTAAAAATATTTTATCAACATATCAGAGATAACAGTGTATATACATATATGTAGATATATTTTGTTTTGTTATGTAAATATATATTTAATTCAAGGAGCAGACTTCGAAAGTGCATTTTGTCCAAAATTTCATTTATAGAGTTAAATATGGCATAGCGTTTAGTATTTAAAAACTTAAATTTTAAGATATTTTATGATGTTCTGAAAAATTTCTACACCATCAATTTATGTGCTAAAAAAATCTTGACATTCGAAATGCATTATGTCCTTCAACTAGAAGCAAACAATATGTATTTATTTAATATTTTTAGCTCATTTAGCTCATTTAGCAATTTTGTTGAACAGATCTTACTAATTGACAAATTATTATTTAAGGCACGCATATTATTTTCTTGCGGTTTTCTGAAAATTATAAAAGTATTTTAAGTTATATTAACATATTACAATGCGCACAAGAAAAATTAAAAAAGATTACAAAGTAATGAAATAATCGGATCCTATAATATGTTCTACGTAAGTTCTGAGATCTTTTTTCTAACTTTTGCTGATTCTAAAGTTGCAAATTATTTAAAAAAATTAAAAAAAAAGTTCCTAAACGTTTAGTTTTGCTAACGATCAGTTAAATTCATATTCTGATTTCTTATGTGCAAGACTACATTACGTACAATTATTGTAATCCATTATTATTGATTAAGTTAATTAATAATAATAGTAAATTTTTAATATTAAATTTATTTTAATATTGAATTTGATTTGAACTGAGGCAAGTGTTACATTTATTTTTTTCGCCAATGACAATCCTCTTCCTTCTATCCTTCAATGCATACAATCGCCATATATTATAATAAGAATATCTAACATAATATCAATCAGTTCATAGAATGAAACAGAAATATACAATAATAATCAAATGCAATTAATGTGTAGGAATATATATATTTGATTGATATTTTACAAAATTTTACATTTTCAAATAACAGCACGATTAACGCGCTTTAGTATCGATTTTTGTGCGGCGTAATGTTTACGCACTGTCAACGTACTGTCATTCAACTTTGAAATTCTGTTCCGACAGATCAGTGTCACTCCGAATATCTTCAGTATTTTTTTTTTTTGGAATGCAATTGTGATAAGTAATAGATAATACTAAACATCGTATATTACACAATTGTTCACGCAATTATTATATTATCTTGCACGGTTGTTAGTTGATTTTGTAAATGGATCGAAATGACAATTCATGTATCATAAATGTTTCATGCAATTTAATCATTTAAAATTGAAACAAGATAAAAAATAAGATTTATAACTGTTTCATGATGGTTTACGGTAGTTATTTTTGTTTAATACAAAGTTTTTCTTCCGTTTGAATTTTTATACATATCTCTATACATTTTTAACTGTATCATATAAATTAGAAATAAAGTAACGTTAATAAATAATGTTACGCAAATAACACAATTTATGTAATTCCATAATTAACAGTTACATAATTACAGTTTATGTAATTAATAACAATTTAATTAATTTCTCGTTTTTGTGCATCGTTCACGATATCGACAAAAATGTATAAAAATTAAGCGTTTGAGAATTTTATGATTGTTTACGACAATGATAATAAACCGGAAATAAATAAAAAAATTATTTTTCATTCTTATTAATATCTAGCCAACTTGATTGATGTCGTAATCACATCTTACAGAAATTATAATAAAAAGTTTATCTTTTCTACTTATACTAAATTTGTTTAGTTGCACTGGTGACAAATGCTTACTTGACATTCATTTTTACAAGTGAATCATACATACTATATTTCAAACGATATTTTCCCTCCCAAGTGTACAACTTTGACGAAGTGAGAGAGTTCGGTACTTTAAGTTTTAAGGATATACACATAATATGAATGACCTTTCTTAATACCTCAAAATTTTCACATATATCTAAATTATTTAGTATATAATTAAATTTTTAGATATTTGAGAAAAATCATAATCTTCATGTAAAAGTCTAACGATGAAGAAATTGCTGGTTTAAATAACGAATCATAATCAGTTTTTTGCGTCTGCTTCGATAGTGCTCTTGAAATTATCGAATTATGAATTTTTCAAGGCTCGATACTTGGTGGAAAACTAATCCAAAATGGGATCTTATCGCTCCAATGTTTTGACGGCAAGTAAGACTTATAAAGAGGCATTGTTGTAGCGGCCAGTGTCACAATTGCATCGTCGGTATTTATCGTGTGTTTTGTATATACTTGACTATATTTATCGACTCTAAGATATTTACAGTTCTTACTCTAAAAAAATTATCTTAAGAAATGTTTTAAAAAGTTAAGTCCTGTGATTGATAACATCTTACAATTGTACTTAATATGATCTTAAATATTATATAAGAATTGACTTAAATGCTCGCCGTTGTTGATTCCATCAGCCGACTTAGAAATCCTATCATGAATTTTATAAACAAAGAGTATTGCAATATTGCAGAAAAGACTTATTAATAATTAATGCGCGCGCAATTTCATTTATTATCCGCGAGTGTTTTTTTGCAAGACGATGATAATCCAATCCTGAGAGAAGGAAAAGCATCAAGTACTGGCGGAACAAGACCTAGAAGTACTTTTTATCTATATATAAATAATAGCTCATTCTCTCATTTATTCAAACTGTTTTTATCTCGATAAATTAATATTTAAAAAAAATTCATCTAAATTTTATAAAAATTTATTTTTGTTTCTGAGATTTTTTTCAAAAAATATAAATAATTATATTCTACTTCATTTCTCAATTTTTTTACGTGATACTATTTTTTATATGCAATAAATAATTTTCTTTACACAGTATTTTTTTCGTTATTGTCATTATTTTCATTTTTTACGCAAATACGTGAAATAAATATTTTTACAACATAGACGTTTTTTTCTCTTATGTATCTTTTTTGTACTAACAAACTTTTTATTCTCAATTTTACAAAAATATCACGTAGAATGTATATTCCACAATAAATTAAAAAACAAATGTCTCTAATAAATATGTAATTGTAAAATGATTATAAAATTCGATGCGCCTAAGAACTATGAAATATTGACTATTTCGAGGGTGTATTGAATTAAAATCTTATGATTTTGTACAATAATATCGTAATTACGAAAAACTTTGTTTGTTACATATCGGAAAGATGATAAATATAAATTATTAAAATATTTACAACTCAAATTGAGAAAACGACTGTTTCGTTACATAATAATATTTAAATCTTGGATGAAGAACCGATTTACAATAAATGCCTTGTCTCAGAGATGCTTAACATTAAAAAACAGAGTAACAGTCTTAATCTACAGACGGACATAGAAGGTCTTCATAAATCATACATTCCGATAATAAACAATGTTTGACTTTGCATTGCCAAGATTTATCGCAGTACAGTCGAATCTGTCGAGATCGTTAGACGTTTTTTTTATTTTACTTTCTATTTTATTTTATACATTGGACGTTACATACTTATAACTGTGATATTATGCTTATTTTAAATAAAAAATTTTAAGTTTAACTTATAACTATATCTATCTAACTTAACTAACTTATAACTAACTATGTAATTATAACTATCTATGTAACTTATAACTATCTATGTTTCTTTATGTTCTCTCTAGAACAACGAGAAATTTTCACAATCGATCAACCAATCACTTGAGCCACGAGCAATTTTTCGTTTTCTTTATTTTAATTCATCGAATTATGTAACGAAACAGTCGCTTTCTTAATTTTTGAATAATGTATTTTATTGCGTCGAAAAAATTTTTTTGTACATTTGAAGAGGACCCAAATCAATATAAGACCAAAACATGTATGTAATTGTATTCTAACATTTTAATTTTTGTACTTTCTACAGTTTTGATTTATTATTTCTATCTTTAATTATACTTATATGTTAAACGAATAATGGAGATTTGTTAAGTTTTTTCTGATCTTATTATTAGCCTCTTATTATTAGCCTTTTATATCTCGTTATCAGATTTTGAACATTAAGAGTTCTGTTATTTCAAGTTTTTTATTCTAACTTAAATTGAATTAATTTTTCACAAATATAATGTATAATTGATACTGTTAAATTTTTTCAAAAATCATTAAAAATCATTTATCATTAAAAATTTCATTTTAACAAAATTGTTGCATTATATAGTGAATCATCTTAGCTCAATTGCGAAATTTTTCATCAATTGCTACTGTCATTTTGGAATTTTACCACAATTTGTCTATTGGTGAAAGTGAGGACTAAACAAAGCTAATGATGATTGGCACATATATATTAATATCGTTTACTGTGCGACCTTTTTATAGCTCAATGACGTTAATAAATTTTCTGCACATTGTGCGTCTTATCATCGTTCTGTAGAATTAGCATTTATTGCTTGATTGAAGAACAAATCTGCATCTGAGTTGAATGTTGATCTAGTTAAGAATAACCTCAGTTATTCACTACTCTAATGTAGATATCAAGCATGTGATGAATGAATATAACGATGCAGATATAAAGTCTGCAAATTTAGTCCTGCATGTATCATTTTAAAGCTAACTTACGAAACGGAACAGTGAAATAATTTAAGAGAAATTAACTACTCAAGACGAAAACGAATAAAACATCAGGTCAGTTCTTTTAGTGTAATTCTTTTTATCAATATTTTAGGTCCATCTTTTATTTCTGCATTAAACTGCAGCAATAGAACTTTTTTTTTACTTTCACGAAATATCTAATAA